ACACTACTCTCTGTGTTACTTCTTGCTTTTTGTCGTCTTCCCTCCTGGTGTTTCCATGTGACCTTTTCAGATTTTCTTGAGGCTCTTTATGGTTTCTACTGGATCTTTGCCTTTAGTCCTGCATGTGGGTCGTCTTTAATGTTGGTGACTTATTGTGACACGCGGGAGTCTGTTTTATGAAAACGATGTTTCAGAGCGTCTGTGTGTGTGGAACCTTTTATTGATCCACTGAGTGATTCAGAGAGAAATACAGAGCTGAGTCTTATGCAGCCTTGAGAACATGAAACAGTTAGCATGCTTAATGAAGTCTAAAAGATGTACATGGTGAGACTTCATGGTGTCTGTTCAGGCCTCGTGCGGTGATTTGAGCTCCTCACATGAAAACGTTTCATTGCTTCAACTTTTTTATTTTTATTTTGTTTTTTAAATCTGAGCTGACACGTCGTCTCTGCTGGAGTGTTTGAACGTCCCGTGACTCTCAGTGAGGATGTCTTTACAGTGGGTTTTAATAATTTACACATCACACACACACACACACACACACACACTCGTTAACACACACGTTTATTTGAATTCATCAGTCAGTTCCCAGTAGGATTTCTGTCCTCTTGTTAATCCTCGTCTCTCATGTCTCTCCCCACATTCACGCACAAAGGTTCGATCTGTAGATGCACACACACACACACACACACACACACACACACACACACACACACACACACACACACACACACACACACACACACACGCTGCGTATCATGTACTGCATCACTGGTTTCATCTCTCTGTTGGCGTCTGTGGTTAATGAGATCACCCAGCAGAGATGTGATGTCACAGAGCGGGCGAGTGTGTGTGTGTGTGTGTGTGTGTGTGTGTGTGTGTGTGTGTGTGTGTGTGTGTGTGTGTGTGTGTGTGTATCAGTGCTGGGATTGTGCCTGTGTATGAAGATAGGCTGGATCACTGCGTGGTCTAATTTCTCGGGGTGAGAGTGATAATCTGCCAGAAAGACAGCTTGACAGCTGAGTGCAGATTGTCGAGCTCCAGCTGGGCTGCGGTTTGATTCCGAGAGAGAGAGAGAGAGAGAGAGAGAGAGAGGACGGAGCTGCTTTATCGACCCGCTCTGTTTCTGCAAACTTTGTTGTGTATTCACTTCTGCTTCATTTAAAAAAATATATAGATTCTTCCCTTTTCCTCCCAGAACTCGTTCATTTTGTAATTCCACTTTCTCCTCTCATCAAATCAGCGCTCCTGTTTTTTCATCTGCAGCTTCCTTTCCTCGCGTCCTTGCTCAGTCGCCTCTCTCTGTGTTTTTGTGTCGTCCTATTACCCGTGAGTGAGAGGGGCAGAAAAATGGGAGTGAGGAGATTGTTTCTCACGGCTGAGTAACTCTAGCCTTATTATACAACCACTTCCTCCTCAGGCTGCAAACTTTGAGAGTATAAGCATCAGAAAGAGACAAAGAACGGGGGGAACCGGGGGCTGAGGAGAGAGGAGACATGAAGGCAGGTTTGAGGAGGAAAAGCAGCTGAATCATGCAAAAGCTTGTTATGTAGAGCTGATGTTGGATTCATGTGTGTAACCTGTGTGAGGGCTCAACCCCTTAAAGTCAAAGATTCATTGAGAGGAAACCCTTCAGCTCACTGTGTCAGTCAAATCTCTGCGCCTGTTTTTCATCTTTGTGTTTCTGCATGAAGAGCAGCAGCATGAGCAACAGTTTGGCAGACTTTCAACTTCACAAACTAAAAAGTCTAAAACATCCCCTCAGCGTTTTTCCACAGAAGTCTCCTCCTTTCCAAAACAAACAAACCAGCTGGTTAAAAAACTCACTGAATAATATGGTTAGAATACAAATCAGTGTTTCTCTCCTGATGTTCAGGGGACCAAGCAGCTAGGAGGGGGCTGCGCGCTGAGCTGCTTCCTTTCAGGTGTTTTACCAGGAGCCGAGTTATCATCAGAGATCCCCCCCTCCAAAACAAACATACCACCGGTAAAGGGAGGTTTCCCCCGGTGACGTCCCGGATCTTGTTGTCTACATGGTTGAGTTGGCGGGGGGCGTTAGGGATCAGGTGGTAGGGTAGGTAGGGTAGGTAGGGTAGGTAGTATCAGCGTTGTCACTACCTGAAGCTCGCAACAACACGGCCTGCGTCTGTTGAAGGTGCTGTTTTGGTTGTGTTGGCAACCAAGAGCCGTACTGTAGGACAGTGCTTCCCAAAGTGTGGGCCGCATCCCCCTGGTGGGCCGTGTGGGTACTGCAGGTGGGCCGCGAAAAGCCCTCCACCAATTAGAAATAAAATAAATATCACAATAATGATGATTCACCATGAGTCAACCCTTTAAGTGATTAGTAAGGTGTGTCATGACTATTCATGGACATAATGTTTAGTAACCTTTCGTGTCTCTCTTCCCATGATATCATGTTGTCATGTCCAATAATTTACCCTAACTAAAAGGGATAGCTGTAGTCAAAACTTTTATTTTATAACGGGCCCCGGAGTCATTT